ATAGGAGGCGGGCATCGTAAGGTAAAAAGTCCGGTTTGGACAGGATGAAAGACGAACCAAAATAAAGCAAAATTGGACAGGGAAGGGGGTGGATGAGGAGGCGAACATACAACGAGGTCGGGGTGGCTGTGGCCGAAGCATGAGGCTCGGCCTCCTCGCCGATGACCAGATCCGCCGTCAGAGATGATCGTCGGCATGCCCAGGACGATCTGAAGCCTCCCTCAATAATTCGACACCTGCACGATGACCGGCCGTCAGATCACAACACTCGGCTTGGGCAACGAATTCGAGGGATTTCTAGACCAAGCGTTGAGAGTACCTAGGGGTCACCTTGGTTTTTGTACACGACAAAGAGGAGTGCGGGAGGCGAGCCCCAACCCATCGAGACCACGATGCCTTGAGAGAAAGCTAGGGGAGGCGATGGTGAAGCACGACATCATGGCGCACGTGCCCTACGTCTCAATGCTACAGTCGAGCGTCGCCATGTAGCCGCACAACAGCTTGCACTCCATGAGTTACATACTATTTTCGCTCACACGACGAACGCCATCCGCCCGTCACTGAGACCCATCCTCTCAACCCTGCCGCTCCACGATCACGCGACGCCGTGTTAGTTAATGCAGAAACATAGGAGGCGGGCATCGTAAGGTAAAAAGTCCGGTTTGGACGGGATGAAAGACGAACCAAAATAAAGCAAAATTGGACAGGGAAGGGAGTGGATGAGGAGGCGAACATACAACGAGGTCGGGGTGGCTGTGGCCGAAGCATGAGGCTCGGCCTCCTCGCCGATGACCAGATCCGCCGTCAGAGATGATGAGGTCATCAGCCCCGTGACCTGGATCCCGCCAACAGGGTGATGCAGAGAGAGGTGCGGCGGCATCCTACGGGTGAGGACGGCGGGGGAGGTGAGGGAGCAGCTGAGCGCGGTGGTGCGGCTGCGTCCCTCGGGAAGACGAACGGCGAGCGGCCCGAGGCGGGAGGCGGCGAGGGGGAGAGAAGAGTCGTGCGGTGCGGGGTGAAAGTCCTTTGATGTAATTTGACTACGTATGGAAAGATTAATCAGTGATTGACCGACTTATGGTAAGTTAATTAATTTAGATTTGATTTTTAAATATTGATTAGAGATTAACCGTGATTGATTCTCTCCCATAAAGACATTACTAAATAATTTGTGTCCACATGGAAAGTTCTGATCCGTTTGGCTTTCGGTACATGGGATGGTGGAAGGAAAGACGAAAATAAACCGGACGAAAATAAACCAAACGAATAATAACAGTGGACGCAATCCTAGCAACTGCTCCATTAAGAGTAGAGATAATTCCTCAGGATGAGGAGGTCACGATTAGGGTATGGCAAGAAGAACTTTTTTGGAAAGCTTTGATTCTGGTGATAATTACCATATTCGAAATTTCCTTAGTTATAGCCTTACCATACATGGATTGATTTATTACTATAATTATCATATTTGAGATTTCTAAGTTTATAGCCTTACCATACGTGGATTAATTGTGATTGATTACCATAAATACGTTGGGTATTGTCGGCCAGACGAGAAAGAGAAAAACCGGTGGGAGGGGGGTGGTGGGAGGTGGGACGAAGAAAAACCGGTTGAAAAAAAACCGGTTGAAAATAAACCGGTTAAAAGTGGGAGGGACTATTCAACCAATTCGTCCATTAGGAGTAGAGATGTCTCAGTTGGTAGGTCGCGTTCCGGGTTTTATTTTCGTCCCACCTCACTCGGTCTTTTTTAAAACTTCTTTGGTACTTCCTCCCACCTCCCACTCAGCCGCGAAAAACCAAGAAAAACCCCACAATCGAGTCCCACACCCGCCCCCACGCGCCTAACCTCCTGTCGCACCCATCTGTCACGAACGAAAACAAACCAGCAAAAATAAACCGGCAAAAATTAACCAACGAAAAAAAATCACAAACCAACCACCCGCACGTACGACCGAGGTCTCTTGCCCTCGAGCGAGAAACAGTCGCCCAACTCTGTGCCCTCGTTCGCCGCCGCTGCCCTTCGTCCTCTCACCACCACCGCTAGATCCCTTCGCCGCCGCTCGGTGCCGCCAGGCCCCGACCTCCTCCCCGGCTCCCGGCGCCGCCCGCCCCCCATCTGCTCCCCCGATCCCGGCTAAGCCCGGCCCCACCTTCTCTCTCACTCTTGGCGGTGATCCCCGTGGTGTCCCCGGACCGGAGGCCGTCGAGGATGTAGAGCGCCGGGAGCGCGGCGCCGACGAGGAACCCCCCATGATGTGCGCGGCGAGGAGGAGGCGCTCGGGGCGGAGGAAGACGGGCGCGGACGGGTTGGGCTTCCTGGGCGCTGCGGGAAGGTGAGCCTGGCTAGGAGGAGTAGGTAGGGAAAGGACGGCGGCTCGCCGGCAGGTCACCGGCGCCGGGAGGCGGCGAGGTCGTCTCTCTCGCTCGCCTCTCCCCTTCTCCCCATCTCGCATCTCCTTCTTGCACCGTCGGTGCTGCCGTCCAGTACGTGCCGCGGCGATCCCCATGATGCGCTGGCCATCTGAACCAGATCGGCGCCGACGAGAAGTCTCTAATGTCCCGTGCGGCGGCCACGGGTCCATCTTAAGTCGGCGGCGAGCTATGGTGAGGTACACATGGCGCTGATGGATGCACTGTACAGGGGCGCCGCCGCCACTGAGCTGGCCACCGGCTTTTGCCTGTCGTGCTGCCGCGACGGGCACTCCCTCCTCGGCTTTGCCAGGGTCCTCCTGCCCTGCGTTTATGTGCTGCTCCTCGTCATCATCTCCGTGGGTGGGTTCCTCCTCTGTAAGCTCTGCTCTTACCTATGGCAGGGTCAGTCGATTGGTCCGCGGTTCATTTGTATTCTGTCAAAGTTCGTTGGTGATGTCAATGGTTATCGGTTTAGTTATTTCTGGGTACATGTGCACTAGATAAGTTATGTTTCTTGTTACTCTGGAGTCTGGACCTTGAAGATATGTCATGTTAGAGAATGCAAATCTGTATGTCATGGTCGTGTCCTCAATCTGCAAACAAATAAATCCTTTTCATGTTTTTTATCCATGTGTAGAGCGTAAATATTAACAAAATAGAAATGATCAGTTAATAAAAAGGATTAATCCCAAGATTCATCATGTAGTCCATCAAGATTATACGTTTTTCCTAAAACACAAGTATTTCATATCATAGGATAATTGTAGCTCAGAGACCATGGTCATGGTGTTGTTCGTACAGAAACCTGAGCCAACTTGCTTGTACAATTAACTTTTAAGATGTAATTTTCCATTAGTGAGCACGGTAATTGGAAAACACTATGTAATGATAGACTAATTAAAAAATATATATTCTTTAGAAATAATTGAAGAGTAGTTTATACATTAGACATGAGCCCATGCTGCTGGGGTATGTGCCATGCTCGACACATTTGATTTTTTTTGAGGTTGTCTTAAAGTTTTTTAACGCGCAGGCAATGCCCTTGAACCCCATTCTCCAACCATCTGGCAGCGTGCTGGACGTCGTCCTCCTCGACGCAGCCGTCCCCGACGAGCTCTCTTTGTCGGAGGAGGTGGGGCAGCAAGGCCTCCTATCCTCCAGCGCGTGGACCGACGGCTGAGTCCTCCTGCTCTCCTAGCGTGGTGAGCTTCCCCTCTCTCCCCTACCCCAAATCTAGATGATACTTGCAATTGTGCAGCTATAATAGTAACTGGGGCATCTCTATATGGTTTAAGCACCAGCACAATCTCTGTACTTTCTGGAGCGTAGGAGAAAATGAAGCACAATCTCTGCACAGTTTCAGAGATGACCAGTAGTAAAGTATGAAGCTGCACGTTCAGTTAGTAACCAAGCATGGAATGTTCCTGAAAAAGGGGTTCATTTCTTTTACATACATGTATGACCATATATGCACGCATCTTCATCACTAGATGATTAACACATCAAGTAGTGTGCATCCATCCATGCAACACCACTGATTCTACAGCCAAAGGTTTTTTTTGTAAGAGATAATTAGCTTCATGTAAATCTGGCTGACACTTGCAATTGTACAACTTTGACTGAAACTGGATGTTCAATTTTTTATTAGTGTGCACTACTAATTGGTTCAGTTTGGTTGAATACACAACTTTGGATGTTCAATTTGCTTGTGCATATGATTGAAATCTGACTAAACCTGATATCACATCTAATCTAATGCTAAGAAACTTTCAGGACATTTATCCGCACTGATTGTTTCCACGACAGTAAACTATATGTATATCTAGGATATGATGGAAGCGTGCAGTAGCATGAGAGGTCTTTCCTAATTCTAGGACATGATGTGAAGCTTGTATCTGATTTATAAGGTGTGTGTTCCTCTTTGATGTTTTCCTTTCTAATCCATTTCCCTTGATGCTTCATGCGATTCATAGATGAAAAGAGTCCACATGGTTTCTCATGAGTTTTCCACATGGAGCAAAGGCAACGTATGCCTATGACGATGTATGTAGGTCTGAACACCATGGCAATCTCAATCTTGTTCGGCATCCAATGGCTCCTAATTCTTTTACAACGGCTCTGCTCGGGATTTGTGTCGATGACGTCCATTGACAAAGTGGTTCCAAGAGGTAGAGAGGCTGGTGCGGGACGTTGTGGAGAGTGACGTCAAATGGGGGTCTGTCCGGGCATCACTGCTGCTGGAGCTGCAGCGCCGGTACACGGAGATCAACGGGAAGAGGGCCATCAACGAGACCCGCATGAGCCTCATGGAGGAGGACCCATATGTACTAACATACACAAGATGACAGAGAAGTTCTCCGCTCTTCAGCTCAAAGTGAAGGAGGTGGATGCATTGCAGAATCACTCCTCCAACAGGTGAACTAATTAATTTGCATTGTCTTCTTTTTGAACTTATTTCTGAAAGCAGTTTCTGAACTCTGAAATTGTGTGACTAATGCTGAAGTGATATGTTGTGTTAACTCCTTTTGAATCTCTTGATTCTTTTGATTCTCTTAAATCATTGCAATCTCTTGACCCGAGGGCTACCGATGAGTCTCCGCGGCGGATATCCCCCCAAAAAGATAAAGAAACAGATCCCCATGGAGATTCCCTCACTGCACGGAAGCCTTCTTGGACAGCGACCTCACTACCCAGCCGGTAGCAGCGTCGCCTTCCTGGTAGGCACCCGGCGGATGGGTTCCTGGTGGACCGTCCCGTGCAGTCCGATGACTGCGTGGCCGCGCTCATCCAGACGGAGATGGAGCACATGCCCGTGGACGGGTACCCCCAGATGCTGCGGCGGCTCGGGGCCTTGTATTTGGCCGCCATCACGAGGGACACCATAGATAGGACCTGGAAGGTCAGCCCTCACATCTTTATTTGATTTGAGTCATTCCTTTCTAGCATGGTACTGATATGTGATGGGCTGTGTAAAGATGCCCTTTTAATCAATTTTATTTTCGATTTCTAATTGGATTGTTGCTCAATGATACTGTCCTGTTATATGCTGCCATGATAGCTGATTAAATCTGCAAATTCTTTGATCATAGGTCAGTGACATTTCAATTTCACGCCTTTGACTGTGATTTTGTCTGTCAACTACCTTCATAGGTTCCTCTCGGTAGCAACTGAAGCAACCCTGCTAAAATCCCATAAAGTACTTGTTGGAATCATGGAGAAATTGGTTTCTCATGGCTTGCTTGTGTGACATAGCTCTTGGCAGTGACTTGCTTCTGTCTCGCTCGTGGACCAGCAGGTCAGTGACTGATGCATCTCATCTCATGAAAGACCTCCTCATACATCGTTGAGGGGTTCTGTCTTCTCAGTTTTGTCTCAATTAATCAATGGTTTTTGCTTGACACACGATTGAGGCAAAGTCTGTGTTTGAGGCAAGGACAATAAAAATGATGGAGCTTTTGGTGCTCAGCACCTTGAAATGGAGGATGCAAGTTGTTACTGCTTGCTCGTTTATTGGCTACTTCCTTTGCAAATTCAATGATCATGACACACCCTCCATGCTCGCATTCTCCCGCTCGAACCTCATCCCGAGCACAGCTAAGTGTATGAAAGTCAAATCAGATCCCCCTTTTCAGTATTCATCAACCAATGTGTTAAATCAGATCTCACTTTTAGTATACATGGATCAATGTGTAGATTTTGGCGGCCATCAATTATTAAAGTTTCAGAATTTCGATTGCAGGAGCTGATTTTTTGGTGTTCAGACCTTCCGAGATTGCTGGAAGTGTTGCACCTGCTTCATTTGGGGAGCGCAGTACTTCAGTGGTCGAAAGGGGTACAACTAATTGCAAGTATATAAACAAGGTAGTGATCAGCTCTGTGCTATCGTTATCTAAACCATTTGCCCGCCATCACATGGTATCCTTTAAATGCAATGGTGTCTTGTAGGAGCGAGTGTTAAGATGCTACGATGGAGCCATGGAGGTAACTCACTAAATGAGCGGATAATGTTTTTCAAATGAGAATCATGGAGCTCCGGTGGTTGAAATACCAAACCCCATCTTGTTTAGAGAAATAAATAATTCGCACATGTGGTAGAATACTTACACGAATTTGAGAAACTTTGGTCTTAAAAACTGAGGACATATGAGTGAGCAAGGAAGAATACAAGTTTGTTCAAAGCAACATAATGTATTGGTTACTTGACAGGCCATATGAGTTTCTGTAGTTACCTATTTTTGTCTATCAAATCGTAAGATAATGCATCATCTCAATCTGAGAGGTGTAAATGATCATGTCATCTAATAATCGTATCTAGGTTTGGCTTTATTTGGTGACTGGAATTTTCTATTGCGAAAAGTTACTGGTGATGGTACATTAGAATTACCAAACTGAACAGGTGGTACTAAAAAGTACTGGAAAATCTCAATGCCTAGATGGTATGATGTGCCATGTTCATCACCGCCGGGAATACTTTGATAGGGCTAAATTTTGCTCTATATGATTTCCTGGGGGGCTGTTTGGAAGAGAGGGATTGGGCTAGGAGTTAGTTTAATTTGTACGTTAGGACAAAGATGATTGAGTGATGAAACTACAGTTGCTAATTCAGTGTAGAGATCCTACTTAATGTACACATCAACATTCTTATAGAGCAATTTAATACTGTAACTCTTATCTTATTCACCGTTATTTCTGTTGAAGATTGTTTGAAATTATTAGGCACTGGCCCTCTTCAAGTCCTACTTTAGTGCAACGGTGCAGAGACTATGCACTTCGGTTATCCTCATAATCCCAGTACCATAAATTTTGAAGTTAAATATAACCCAGGAAGGCGTACGGTCACCATTTTCCTCCAAGGTCAGAGATATATGAAAAATGAAGTCGGTTGTATTGGATATACAAAAAATAAATATGTATGTTCCTTTATTTTCTAGGTAAGTGACCAAATCATATTTCCTTTTATCTGTACTAATAGAATTTAGATAAGCCTGTGCTAAATGCGACCCTTGTAAGTGCGATCTTCGAAGTTACGAGCGTTGTTGGATGGAGAAGAGCGGGTCTTGTATTAGGCTTCAGCTGTATCCGAGAAAAAGCATAGCACCAACTTTTATAATGGTCCTAGGTTCCTATCAGGGCAATACCATCATCCTGCATACATTTTAAAATGCATTTCAGTTCTATTACATATTGTACACGTACCAACATGCGTTCCTCTGTTTTCATTTCTTTGTTGTCCTTAATGTCATCTCTTTTTTTACTTTCATTTAGCAAGTGAAGTAACAACAATAACTAATAGGTTCTCCTCGCATGTTAGGTTTTCTTGGACATTGTTGAGAGCGTAAACCTTCTTATGTCTTCTAAAGGGATTTTATGTACCATCAAATTTTACTTGTCTGTTATGAGGTTTCTGGTGTCTTCCTGTTCAGCTATTTGATATTCATTGTGTATGTTTCTTAAATTTCTGCAGGGAGAGTTCTAATATGTGACGTGACAGGAAAGATCCTGATGAAGTGCTTCCTTTCTGGGATGCCTATCTGAAGTTGGGACTAAATGACAAGATTTAATTGGCTTAGTAAATAAAAAACTTGCTAAAGAAAAATAAGATTCAAAATAGATGTTTTTATTATAGATTAGGATTCGTGTGTTCTGCCACCGGGTTGACTTCTCATATCAGAAGGCAAGCCGTTAGTTCATATCGTGCTACTTTCCACTATTGTAGTGAGAGAGAGAGGGATTGAGAGGCTCCTACTTTTTGTATTGTTGTCGATGCTTGCACAATGCTATTGCTTATTATACTGGGGTATTCATCTTTGGAATAAAAAACAATCATTTTCTCCCTTCAATATTTTAGTCATGACTTAGTTTTACTTACTAACCTCTCTTCAAAATTATATTAGGATTAAATTTAGCTTTTTATAAAGTTGTAAAGAATAGTTCTGATTTTTGTGGGTAGTCAATCAAATTTTGGTTCATGGTTGAAAGCCCCTTGTCATCGTAGTTTACTCGAAGGCAGCTTTAGATTGATTCTCACACTGAGGGAGTCATCTTTGGAAGCAATAGTTCTAAGGTTTTTAAAGAATCATGTTATATTTGTTTGTTTTTGTATAACCAACAAATATTTCAAACAAACGTTGTGATTAGAATTATGACAACATCGGTGTTCATCACTATTCTTTGTGGACTTGAATAGGTCTTTCTAAATTACACATAATGTGTATGAGCAAATTATCATGTCTTTTTTGGATCTGTGGCGAAGCATAGTCACCTTAGTACTATGTTGCTTTCTGCATGCGTTTCTCATGGCCTTATTAAAGATCCCTGGTTCTATGGTTTTAAACACAAGATGATATTTTTTATCACATTTCGTACAAGTTCTCCTATAAGGCTATAATTTTAAAGTTAAAAAACATTTTTAGTTGGGAGAAGGAAGGAAGAAAGAAAAGGATAGCGCTTTAACGTATGTTGTCAATGCAGCCCGTGGCAACGCACGGGCGTTTTACTAGTCTTCTTAGGTTACGACAAATGGCGCACTACATCTCTACTCCTAATGTCTCAGTTGGTAGGTCGCGTTCCGAATTTTATTTTCGTCCCACCTCACCCGGTCTTTTTTGATACTTCTTTGGTACTTGCTCCCACCTCCCGCTCAGCCGAGACGGTTTATTTTCGTACTCCCTCCCACCTCCCAGGTAGTTCCCTCCACGCAAAAAAAATCGAACCAACCAATCTCTACTCCTAATGGAGCAGTTGGTAGTCTTCGCTGGTCAATTTTCGTCCCACCACTTTCGTCCGGGTTTTTTCGTAGGTTAACTGTCGTAGATTTTTTTCGTCGCCTCCCCCACTTCATCGATTTATTTTCACTTCACCCTCTCACATAACGAAAAAAACTGAATGGATCAGAACTTTCCATACTGACGCAAATTATTTAGTAATGTCTTTATGTAAAAGAATCAATCACAATCAATCTCTAAAGATCAAATCTAAATTAATTAATCTTCATAACGTTTGTTTCCTTTCGAATCACGTCCATAACTTTCCTTCCTTGTTTGGGCAGAAACTGTTTGGTAGCAGAGATTAGGAAGCTTTCTATGAGTGTAGTAATAGGAAGTATTCTTTTTCTTGATGATTCGTTTCCATGCATGATGATAGTAAATTATGCCAACATTCACCACTATTTATCAATGTCATCAATCGTATCCATTTCTACCAGTTTTAAGGGAATCTGCTCTCTATGTCTTTTTTAAGGGGATCCGCTCGCTAAGTCGTCGTCGCATGTTATTTTCACAAACAATCTCTACTCCTAATGGAGCAGTTGGTAGCCTCGTACGGTTTATTTTTGTCCTCCTCCCACCTTTCCTGGTTTTTTTTCATCCTCTCTCCCACCTCCCAATTTTGTTGGTTTTTTTCATCGGTTTTTACTCGCCCCCTCCCACCTCCCAATTTCGTCCGGTTTTTATTCGTCCCACCTCCCACCACCCCCTCGTACTGGTTCTTTTTCTCTCCACTCTTTCCTTGCAAACCAATAATTTCCTAACATACAAAAGATCACGAATCTATCTTTCCTTACCCGAACCAATCGCGCCCTACATCAGTGCATTTCTTTATTAAGAAAACTAACACGTAAATCTTAACGCATTGCAAACAAATCCCGTTATGGACCTAATTAATTTATTATGGAATCTATACGTGGTCGCATTGGTCCTTTTTCTCTCCACTCTTTCCTTGCAAACCACTAATTTCCTAACATACAAAAGATCACGAATCTATCTTTCCTTATCCGAATCAATCGATCCCTACATCAGTGCATTTCTTTATTAAGAAAACTAACACGTAAATCTTAACGCATTGTAAAGAAATCCCGTTATGGACCTAATTAATTTATTATGGAATC